TCAATGTAAAGACTGATATACAATTAATGTGAAATTACTATTAAATAAACAAAATTAAAAAAAAAAAAAAAAAAAAAAAAAAAAAAAAAAAAGAATAAAACGAAAGAAATTAAAAGAAAAATCAAACATAAACTTGAACTTACTAATTATTAGTTCCAAAGAAGAAAATACATTGTACTGGTCCTCTCTTAGTATTTCCTGGTTTCTTCAAATCCTTTGAAGGAATGGATACCTTCGGATATCATGTTTAAATTAGTATGAAACAAAATAATATGTGCCAACAGAGTTGCATCATAGAACTAGTATAAAAAGCATCATATATTTTGACCAATTTAACTTATAAATATTTTGGATCCGAAGTTTCGTGTTAAGTGAGAATTTTGATTAGTATTACAAATGAGAAAAATATTAATGTATGAAAGAAAATTTTAAATATTTAGTTTGAATATAAATGTTAATACAATTGTAATAATTATTAGAACTGTTAAAGGTAATATAAATATCAAATAAATCCGACATATGTAAGTGAATCCCGTAAAGTCGTAGTTCCCGCGTAAATGCTTATAGGTGACTGAACGAAGGAGAGAACTATTGCGAACGATATAAAAACAGATAAGAGATGTGTGTTTGAACGTTAGTGAAGAAATATTACTTAATCACTTGTTAAAGTAGAATACGAAAAATAGATCGTATTTTAATCGCTAATATCGTAAAGGTTCGCGATAAAGTTGAACCGTACGCGTATGTGGTGAAAGAGGGGGAATTAAGGGGAAGCGAATTTAGGTTATATTTTTGTAACTAGCGCGCCAATTTGAATTCGAAGGTCGGGTGTGGCGGGAGATACGTAAGGCTCAGAAACAACACAGTGCAAGGTTTCTAGACGTATCAAATATGTGAAAAATACGTGAATTTCGAATGAAAACAAGCGATAATGGAAATTACAAGTCTTGTGGCTCTTATAAAATCCCGTACAATAACGATGGCGTGTTTGACTTCGTGGCGCGTTCCACTCAACGCAATGCAATAGTATAAAGTCAGAGAACCGTTACCGAGGAACTGACTTCAATGACTTACCCGGCCTGGCCATGGTGAAAATCCCTTCATCTTCGCCCTGAAATTAAGAAAAAAAATCAACGATCAATGATCACTACTCCATAAGCTTTCACAGATTGTTCATATTTAGAAAAAAACGATTGATTGATCACTCAATTAATACACACCATACCAAATCACCTAGTTTGTACATTTCAGACATAATCAAACTATCACCACTACTGCTCCGCTCACGAACGGCAAGAGACTGAATGACCAGAGCAGAGCGTCGTTTGTGCATGACGACGTGATCCAAATCATCCCCTCCACTGTGTGCTAGTCAAATGATCAATGATTATTTTTCTTCGAAGCGATTACCTTTTTATTCTCTTATTTCTAAAAAATTCTTTCTATTAGTACATCAAAATAATGTTAATGCATTGAAAATGTTTATCAAATATTAATATTACATGTAAATCTTCTTAATTCGTAAACTTCCGGTATCGTTATTATTCCGATATGCTAAAGTCCCGTCCTGCAGGCTCGTTTACAATACATAACATTCCAATACGAGACTTATCAATTTCTTTTGGTTTATTTTCAATTAAACTACACGTTTGAAACGTCTAATTGTCTTTTGTAAAAAGGACCGATATTGGCTATTGTACATCTTATGGGGATAGATTTTTTTTCATAGATATAAAAAAAAAAAATTTAAGAGATAAACATTAGGGAAAAAATGATTGACGTGAGCGGAGAAAAAATATAAAATTCACGGCGCTTGCAATCTTACCAGCTGTCAGCCATCGATTGTGAGAATTTTTTCCTATTTTACAAGCAGCATTTATCGTAATTAAAATTAATTTTCACCTTCTGCACGAAATTACAGTATTGCTAACAAGTTTCTTGCAAATCTGATTGGGAATGGATAGTAACATTCGTTACAATATGGTACGTGTCATGAATGTTACGGGACATCGTAAATATTTCATCTTTTGAGGGCACATAATTCGCTCCTCCTCACGTAATGCTTTGTGTTTCCTTGTCATCTGATAAACATCTTAGCGTTTTCTTTGAATGCATTTTTAAACAATATCTAGAAATATCATGTCACAAAACTCATATCTACGCGTTGACTAAGTACAAAAAATGTATGGATACATTGATCTTCCTTGATTATCACTTGTTTTACTACAATAAACTGAAAAATTTCCATGCCTACACTGTCACAAAATTCGTTCTTATAAATGAGTTAATGATTGTGATTATATTTTCTGTGATTATAATTGATATGTAAAAGAGAGTTAATAGAACGTAAAGGTGCATTGGAATTATTTTATAATTGACGTTTTTTATTCAATGTTCTCCTTTTGCTGATACTCTTATGAGAAAGAAAGAGAGAGAGAGAGAGAGAGAGAGAGATAAGTGAAAGTAATATTTCATTGCTCTTCACATATAGACAATAAGTTGCAAATTTAATGTGGAATATCTTAATGCAACATTTTAGCCATCCCAAACAAATGATGATACAAGTGGGGAAGCATCTATACGTAACGAAGTACCTTCGTTGACTGTAACATTGCCTACCGTACAAGGAGGTATGCTTAGTCATTCCAATAACGCATCTATGGCCCAGGCTACTGTTACTACTAGAATGGTAATATATCTATTCAATGTACAATCTTACAATATTATATGAACTTTAACTAACACTGTATTATTGTAATAGGCTGAGGGTGAAGAAATACCACCACCAAAACCAGATTTTTCAGCACCACCTCCTTACGAAGTAGCTACTAAACTACCTAGTTATGAAGAAGTACAACGCGAAAAGACATTACAAGGTGAACCTCATCCTCAATTGCACATGGTAAGCATATTCTCTGAAATATTATTTATCGATCTTATAATTAAGTTTTTTCTATTTTGGAAAATTTATGTTTATGATCTTTGTATTTATACTTTGTATAGCCTGGCAGTATAAGACCACCACAACAACCATTGACAATTCTTGCTATAGACACAGAAGCTACAGAAGGAGATCCAGAAAGTGGATTACTTGGCACTGATTTTATGTTTTTTACAGCATTTTTGGGTAAAATATATCATATTTCATTTTAAATCAAAACTAGTAGTATGACAAAATAACGAGATTATATATGAATTCACAAGAGGCGAGTAGTTAAAGTATGGTTACATTTAAAGTCGATAAAACAATACAAATAACAGAATTTATTTTGAAAGGACAGACAGAGTTAAGAATGGTTCTACGAACATTCATTGTTCGCGTGTATTTTCTTTTCGTTTTCATAGTTTTCGAAGAAAATCTAATATAATCCCTTAAATCAATAGAGAAACTCTATCTCCAAATTAAATAAGTCTTTATAAATGAAGAAACACATATTTTCTGTCTTTGAATTTACAACAGTGCAGTATAGCTAAGTATTTTGAAACGAAATTAAAGAATATTTTTTTTATACTTGAGATATTAACTACTCCGCCTCTTGAAAATTTATATATTACTTATGTTAATTAAGATACGTTTTCTTTGCAGTTGCTTTCTTATTCAACTGGATCGGATTTCTTCTTTTGATGTGTTTCTGTCATACGATTGCTTCTCGTTACGGAGCATTATCTGGTTTTGGCCTTTCATTGACAAAATGGACATTGATTGTTAAACATTCTACTGATCTTGCTTCGCGAGAAAACTCATGGCTATGGTGGTTGATAATGGCATTTGGTTGGTATAATTAATGACTTTTAAATTAAATGATTATATGCTAATGGATTTGGAATTATAGGTCTCCTAATTTGCGTACGCGCCATCATCCAGTATTTGAACATCAAGCGTGGATGGAGACTACTTTCTGGTAGTGCGCAAGAACGCTTACTGTTTTTCTATTAAGTTTTTAAACATGCACTTTTATCAATCTTGGCTTTAGAAAAAAAGCAGCATTTCTATCTGGGGTTGTACTTGTATAATATATAATCGACACCCATTAAAATGAATACTTTATATAGCTCTTATATTAATCAATCGTAATAAACTAGTACAGACAAATTTTCAATATAATTTGCCTAATACACTTCTTAGCAAGAATAATAATTCAAAGTGTAATAAGGCAAATTAATAAAGCAAAGAAGTCAAAGTAAAATTAGTTTTGCGCACACTACCCAATTGTTACAAAAGTAGAAGAAAATCTGTACATTTTCATTGTTCAACTGGCACGGTACAATGCTTCAAACAAAAAAAAATAGAAAACAAAATTATTTGTGCATTGATTTGTGTGTGCAATATTGTTCAAGATACCAATAACTATATGATGTGTGCTATAAATAAAAGTATTACTCATAAATATGATATTATGAGTGAGAGAATTGTTTAAAGGCCGAGGTGTACGAGAATTGGTTAAAAAAAAAACAAAAGTATTGGAAACAATAGATTATTAAATACAGAGGGAAAAATTTTTGATAGTGATATTGTGCAATACACGCTAGTACTAGATAGCTTTTAGATATTTCACTATATATGATTCTTATATCCCAGTAAATAATTGCTTGTTTACATATAATGAGAATATGTATATATATATATATATATAATATGTATATATATACATATATATTCTCTATATATATATGTGTATAGACAGAATTCCTGCCGAATTCATATGTATAGGTTATCAATATTAATATTATACATGAATACATTAAAATTATTATTATTATTATACATAACGGTATGCATTATTTGTTATTTTCTCTAACATTTCATTATTATATTTCTATTATGAATAGAAAGAGGAAGAGAGAAACAAACGAACGAATAGAAAAAAGAAATGCATTAAATTTTTGTGTAGAGTTCAACTCTTTTTAAACGTATTCAGCTTTTGTTGAGAAAATTAATTTATATCTCATATTATATATATATATTTCTACATACATAAAAATATATTTAAAAAATCACATTATAATATATAAAAATATATTTTATTTTAAATATATTTCTTTAATTAAATTACTATATATTTTTTGTCATTAAAAAAAAAAACCAACTATTATTGTATAATGCATCGTCAGCCCGAAAGGTCCCATGGTGTAATGGTTAGCACTCTGGACTCTGAATCCAGCGATCCGAGTTCAAATCTCGGTGGGGCCTCTATTCGCGATAGATTTTTTTTTTTTTCTTAATTGTGATTTAAATTTTGATAATTAATTTCTGTAATAGGTAATTAGAGGCTAACCTTTAGTACGATATTCAAAATCGATGATTCAAAATGTATGCATACGTTTATTTTATAGACTTATTTCATATTAGAGTTAGTTTTTTTTTGTTTTTTACGATGTTGTTGCCATCTATCCTGAGGAAAAGTAATAACGTAGTGCAATATGCATCGTTGAAGTGGAATTGTTGATATCGTCCATAGTTCAGCAGACGTAACGGAAACTGTTGAAGGTGTTATCATCCTTGAATTTTTATAGTTAATGTAAATAATTCATTACAGATAGTTCATTTTAACCAAATGCTAAATCTATCCTTAAACTTATTTATGAGATAATTTTATATTTTTTTAACGATATTCTTACGATGACAGTAATATCTTTGTCAATGGTATAGTAAAATTGTTCACAAATTAGTATATGAGTATAATTGTAAGCCTAACGAAATAAAACATGAAGCATCCTTTGGAAGATCAAGTGGATAAACTTGAAAAGAATCCATTAGTGTTTCTAGATATTGCGGTTGGAGAAGAAAAAGGTATTTAGGAATAGAAATTAAATAATTACAGAGAAGAAGGAAGATTATGTCATTCTATGGCGCGTGATTAACAATTATTTGATTGTTTTTCATTCATAAAGTTGTTCGTACGTTTAATGCTTGGTAAATATTAATACTTTTTAACAATGGTCAGAGATTAGTATTACTTATACATTTTTCTTATTTCATATCAATTTAGTTGGAAGAGTTGTAATAGAATTATTCAAGAATGTTACACCCCGAACCGCTGAAAATTTTCGTGCTTTGTGCACAGGGGAAAAGGGAAACGGTGTTAATAATAAAAAATTACATTACAAAGGATCAATATTCCATAAGGGTACGTATTACAGTAATTACTTTCAAATTGCATATGTTTTCTATTTATTAAGTTTGCTTATTTGATTTCAGTGATACCGCAGTTTATGATTCAAGGAGGAGATATTATTAATTTTAATGGAACAGGTGGTGAAAGTATATATGGTCTTCATTTTGAGGATGAATCTTTTCAAATTTCACATTCGCATGGAGGATTATTAAGCATGGTAAATGAAGGCCAACCTAATAGTAACAGTTCTCAATTCATCATCACTACTGTTCCTTGTATACACTTAGATAATACCAATGTAGTTTTTGGTAAAGTTATCAAAGGTATGGGAGTGGTACTAGAAGTTAACAATCTACCAGTTGTCAAGGATCAACCTGTTGAGGTAATTCTCTTATGGTGTAACTAAGGTATCATCAGTCATAGAATATCTTGTAGAAAATTATTACTATTTTTAGAAAATTCATATAACTGATTGCGGAGAATTGACAAGAGGAGAAAATTGGAAATTGGAGGAAAATGATGATTCCGAAGATGTTTATACACCATGGCCAGAAGACTGGGATTATGAATTGAGTACTGATACACTGACTGTAAGCATTGATTTTAGATCAATTTTATCGATATCGTTTTCATTTTTTATTTCATTTTATATAAAATTATGATGCTTTGATAATTAATAAAATTTGTAGTACAAATATGTCTCGGAGGTTGTTAGAAAAATAAAAAATTCTGGAAACCATTATTTTTCAATGAAGAATTATGTAGATGCAGGCAGAAAATATAAAAAAGCATTACGTTATTACGAATGGATGATAAAAATGAAAAACGTGCCTGATACTATGGAAAATTCTATGAAAGATCTTAAAGTAACAATAATGTTAAATCTTGCTGCTGTACAATTAAAAAAAAAAGATTATCGCAGCACAGTTAAATTATGTAGCGAGGTAGGTTTTTTATTGTTACATAAAATATTCATATTCTATATTTAATTTTGATATATTATTTAGGTCTTGGAAATAGATAAATCAAATGGTAAAGCGTATTTTCGAAGAGGACAAGCACACATGGGTCTAAATGAATATGATGTCGGTTTAATGGATTTAAAACGTGCACTTGCTGAATGTCCTAACAATAAAGATATTTTAAAAGAAATAGAAAAGGTGAAAAAACTGATGAATTCCTATTTAGTAGTAGAAAAAGCTACCTTTCAAAAAATGTTCAAAAACTAACAATAATTTTAATGAATTATCGGGATAATAAATTTTATGATAGTAACGAATACACAAGCATGACAATTATTATGTGTCTGAAGTACAAATTAGTATAAAAAGAATAAATTCACATAGCATATAATTTTGTTAACTGTAAAATAACATAGATGTCCATCGCATATAAAAAATTTGCCAAATACCATTCAAGTACTTGTAATCGTAAATATAATAACAAACGGCAAGAAATAAATGCCAGATACAAATACACAATTTCTACGATTCAGCAGATTATAGATGCTTTATATCAAGTAAATAAAATATGTGGGATGTAAAATAAATACAAATTTGTATGTTTATAAATTCATGTACTTTCTTCTTCTTTGATTTCTCATTTGCATCTATTCAACTTAATGCTGACAGAATATTAAAATATTAGATTATATTTGTATGGCGAACTAATATCATGCAATGAAAAACATAGAAAAGCAAGTGAATAATTCTAACATAGCGCACACTGCTTTACATTGATATTACTTGTAATATTTACGACGATGTATATGAAGATATGTTTTTTATTTTTAATATATTATAATAAAAAATAATTAAAAAAATATAAAAGAGATAAAATTTAAATAAAATAAAATAATAAACGTTTCACCGAGTAAGATGTTTTTAACATTCTATCACTTTATAGAAATCCAAATCCATGTACATTTTTTTCATCTATTAACACATTGTAAATGAATATTTTATAATATCTTAAATTTGTTAAATTTTAATACAGTAAATAATAAACGGTGACAACATATAAAAATGAGATTAGTGAAATATTCAAACTGATTTATATATACTCTTTGAGTATATATTTTTTGAAAGCAGTGCTTGCTTGTTATATTTATGTGCTTACAATCACCACGTGAAAGGTGTACAGATATATGCAAAACTGTATTAATGCTAGATTATTGAAATGAAAATATAATTCTATTGTTTAATAATATCGATCGTTAATTTTCAGTATAACATGCATACCTACATAACAATTCTATAATTAATTAATAAGTAATATGCTTAAGTATGCGAACTATATAGGTTCTATTGACTAGAGAATAAAAGTCTTATGCCTCTATCTAAGCTGACAATCCACTCAGTTTTGTTTATAATAATATTACTGACTTGTTGTCATCATCGGAATCGATAATTAAATAAATAATAAATAAATTAATAAGTTATAATTATAAATTTGTTAAATCTATAATTATACGGTATTTTCTAGCTTTAAAAAATGTTCATATGAATAAAATTCTATCTTCATATACACAATAGCTACTTATTTCGGAAAATTGACAAATGGCATTGGCCATAATAATGTCAAATGTGCAGAATTGATATTTCTGTACACTCCAATATTCGATTAAATTCTTTTAAAAGAAACGAGATCTTTTTTTAATACCGAGTGCTAGGAATGTTTATTTTGTACATCAATAAACTGTCTGTCCTGTACTTAAATACATGGACGGAAAACTTGTTCAATTGCTTTTATAAGTGCAATTAAACTTGCAGATCAACGACTAATTGCTTATAAGTATATACTTTTAGTTTTCCTTTAACCATGTTAATTATATTATTTAAAAGGATGTGTGGCAGCTTTTTAATTCCTGATCGGTATTTTATCATTTTTTAAAAATGGTAAAAAAAGCGCTGCTACTGAACATACATCAATTTTTATAATACTACTACATATATCATATGTCATTATGGCTACGATTAGGAGCATTTCTTTTCAATTATTTACAATATTCATTTTCCTTTTCATATTTATCAATCATACTGCACACAGAGCAATATTTTTTTATATTTTTCCAAAAATTAAATTCACTTTTCGTAGCTTATTATTGAGACATACAATTATAGGAGCTTCTAGCGATTCAATCATATTTAATCAGCAATTAATGCTTCTTTTTGAAAGTCGTTGGTATTATTTTGCTTCTCATCATCTGCTACATTTGGAACAGAATTTTCAGTTTCAATAAGATTATGCAATTCCTTGCACAATGTTTCTTCGCAAACCTCACCTCCGATCTCATTATTATCAATTATTCCTTCATATTCATTTGATATTTTACTATCTACTACATCTCGAAATTCTGGTTCTACGATTTCTTCACAGCTCTTGAACATATCTGGATGTTCAGTGGAATTAAG